TTTTCCTAATGGACAATTTTTCACTAAGGATCCATCGTCTTGCAAGTTTTAACTAAACCACTCTGATTTTCTCCTATCACTCCATACACTTAAAAGTTTCATTTATTTGTGTTTCTATTCCTCTGATTTATAGTAAGTAATCTTCTACATATGTTATTCAACTACAAACAAAAACATTCTGGGTGCCCTACAAAAACTTGTTTTGGACTGTCAATACCAGAAAAATATCATTTTTTGGAGATTATCTTGGATAAGGTTCTCCAGAGATCTACAATAACAACAACTGTATTGACTGAAACCAACTATGTCCTAAGAAACAACTATCACTCATAGATATAATACTGTACACTTCAACCATCTTAGAAAGATAGTAGAACAAATGTACGTGCTCAAGATATCTGTCTTACCAGCTCACTATCAAAGCAACTATTTATTTATTTTATTTCTCAGATTATTCACTGTATTTATTGTAAATAAATATGATAAAATATTAAATATTTGGGGCACTTTTTGAAGATGTTTTTGTGTCAGAGTACTCAATAACTCATGGCCAAGACATTCAATAAAAACAATTAAATTCATTTTGTTAAGTAGGGAATACAGTATGTTTGTATGTATATCAGGCTAAAATGTATCTACATATATGTTAATATTCTAGCTGAAAGTCAACATAAGACATAGTTGTGGATATTTTTTAAAACAGGACATTAATTATGTAAGAATGAGAAATTTTAAACATAAATTAATGAACCATAATTAAGTTACAAATAATTTTATAAAGATAAAAAAATATTACAATATACTTACAAAGCTAGTATATTACCATAAGTACCATAGAAAACTGTTTTGTTAAGCAGCTTGTTTCAACTATAAGTATCATAAGGACATAATGAGACCTATTCAACAAATCTATACAACTAAAATGTACTGATCATTGTGTGAGGTATAGGACTAGTTCTTGGATTGTTTACTCCAATTCAATTGTTACAATCTTACAGAGCAACACATTTACAATCAAGGAAAAGTTAATACCAAAATAAAATTATATAAAATGTACATGTTGATTGGTTACTTTTAAAAATATATTCAGACAAGAAAAACTTGAGCATTCCTCCAAATAGTCCAATTGGAAAAAATCAGAAAAATATTTATTTATTTTAAAAATGTGAATAAATAAAAATCAATGTATCATTGATGCTTTAATATTTGCATCAAAATTAAAGTCGATATTATACAAATTATTGTATACCATCTATGGTTATCTGAAAGCAATGCAATTCATGTTTGTTTATTTTTATACTCTATATATTTCCATTTTAGTCTCTGTTTTCATTTTTACATTGATTCATTTTAATATAATGTGGTGTTTTTCTTTTTGTGGTGCTAGGGATTGAACTAAAATGATACTTTTATATACTAGCCTTAATTATCAGCTTGGAATTATGAGAAAAGGTATGGTTATCAAGAATTGTTTTCAATAATATTTTACAAAATAAAAGTCATATAAGATATTTTATTTCCATCTTTAAACAATAAAAGTTATTAATCTAATTCATCATCATCATTACAATTAAATGTAAGACTGATATGTAAATATATTACATATTCATAAATTTGATTCATAAAGTTCATATTCAACTATGCTGTCTATACATTATATATGATACACTATTCAGATAGAGAAAGGGAAGTTGATTTTTTTTTAATACTGAAATGCTATAGATCAAAACAAAAGGAAAGAAATTTAGTAAGGAGAAATGTGATGAGAATGCAATTTGAGCCATAACTGTGACTAGTACATTCTTGTTTACATTCAATGTGCAAAGAAATTCATTGCAGATTTGTCTCTTAATAACTATTTATTGAATAAATAAGTAATTTCCCAACTGTTTACCCTGTTTTTAATTCTAAAAATTTTAGGTTAAAACACCCATTATGGCAAATTTAAGTAAATTGTGAATTGCTATATGGATTCATGAATATTTATGATAAAAACCAGGAATATGTTATAGCTAATTTTAATAAATTAAGTAAAGTGTTAAATATCTGTTAGGCTGGATTATAAAGCCTAACAGATTTCAAGAAAAAATGAAGAATTAAGCTCTTGAACACAATTCATCACAATAAATAGAATGAGTCACCTCCAATAAATCAATAATCACTTAATGTACTAAAATTTTCTCTATGATATACTTTTAAAATATCTTACTGGAATCAATTTCATCATGAACTTAAATGATTGATAGAACTATGCCAAGATCTTTGAGATACAAAGAAAAGAACAAAGTTCTTGTCCAAAAGGAAATAACAGTTTACCAGGGAGAAAAGTGCCTCAAGCAGAAACAATAAAGCTAAACTCGGTAGTATGGTTAGAAATAATAAAGATGTGCATAGGATTTACAGAGAAAGATATCTACACATAATTCCAGAAATTATTTAAAATGAGAAAAATAGCTTCCCAACATTTCAACAGGGGATGAATGTTGGATGATGATTGGACCTGAAATCAGCCAAGCAAAAACATGAAATGTACAGGCCACATTGTTTTCATTGCAACAGAAATTAAAAACCCACCTCCATCTTGTAGATACAAGCCATGCCTTATACCCAAACCCATTAAAACTATCGATTAGGGAACAGGTCTGGACAATTTAATGCCTAACCTAAAATGATTGGTGGGAATTTGCAAGGTAGAAAACTGGACAAGGTTTGTTCTAGTGAAAATGCAAAATATGATCTTGTAAATTTAAAAAAAAAGTGCAATTAGAAGAAATATACACACTGGAGAAGTCAAAGATGAAACTACAACAGAAGCCAGGGAAGGATCTGAATCATCACCAGTGCTGAGGTAGAAAATCTGGATTTCCCTAGGGGAGTTATGTGGCGGCTCTGTGCAAGCATGGGCTGTGAGACTGCGGTACCCAGTCTGTGCTGAATAAGAACTACTGTTCACATCCTTCCCAGTATAATGATACTGCCCCATCTGTCTCAGGTTTTTTTTTTTTAAAAAAAACAAAACATTAATTTCCTTTTCCTAATTTTTAGAAAGTCATATATGTCCACAGAATATCAAAAATTCCGCTTGGCATCTGAAAAATTCAACTGAATTAATTATATATAATAACAATAAAGGGAGTTTATTTTCAAAATTAAATCACTTTTCTCTTTGTTTTTGTTTTCAAAAGAACTTTTTTTTTCTTTTTTAGTGTTGTTTTGGAAAACAACTTAGGTATATCAAATGAACAAGACACCTAGAGATAAGGACAATAGAATAACACATATGTCCAGATTTAATTTGTCTATTTTATTTTAATATTAAGTTATAACTTAAAGAAAATAATTACATATGAATGATTTGAAGTTCCAATTAGAAAACCCAAGTTCCTTCTATAATTTTGTTCATATTTTAAGCATTAAATAACCAAATATCGCATTTATTCACAAATTATAATGACAAGAATAAGTGATGAGTTAATGTTTTTTTTTTTTTTTTTGGTTAGTCTTTGGATTTAATTTTAAAACTCATTTTTATACCAGAGAAAGGTTCATAATAAAAAAAAAAACTGTATTTAGTCATTATTAGTCACACAGGTACAAAAAATATTTGATTTTTCAAATCAGGAGAAATAGTCATTCTTAATGTTGTTGAGGGACAATTCCATGATTTTCCGAAATTTTCAAGGTTCATAATTGGCTACTTTAGTCACAGGAAGAATGAGCCTATAAAATATTCATTTATTAAAAACATTATTTGTAAGTTTCAAGAACTGTAGTCAAATAAATATGTGAAAACCGTATCCAAATTCCTGATTTCAGAAAGGGGACATTTGTCATAACAATAAGCAAAAGAAAGATAGTTTCAACTATGTTTTCAAGATCAGTTTTAAAGGTATTAGTATTTCAAAGATTTTAACAGGATATATTTCCCTTGTATTACGGTATGACATTATTTTTAAATACCACTTTTCGTTCTTTGTATTTACCAATAAATGTTCATTAACCTTTCAAAAATTAAAGAGACCATAACTTTACTCTAACATAGGTGCTGAGCTGAAGACCTAAAAGTTGTTGAATTTTATTAAAAACACAAAGATGTTCATTTGCAAAAGGCTCTATACACAAAGTGCTGGAAGACTTAAAAATATTAGTTATTTCAGGTCCAGAGCTATAACCATACATACAAAAAGTCACCTGGAGTGATTTTTCAAATATTCTCTGTCATATTTACAATTATAGAACTAGAAATAAAAACTGTAAATTAGGTCACAAACTTCTCAAGAATAGAATACAAAAGCATTTATACAAATGACTAAATATATTTAAATGAAAAGAAAAAAAATAGTCTCAATATATTTGAGATTACACATATATTCTTATAAAGACTCTGACACAAGTCAGGAAAAAGACTCGTTAATAATAATATATTAATAATAATATTAATATATTAAGTGGAAAAAAAGAAACCATGATATTTCCAAATATTCACTAATACAGGAAAGTTAGTTAAAATGTCTACAATGCAAGCTAAGGTTTTTTAACTATAAATTTATTTTGTTAACTATGTCCAAATAAAATTTCACATCTCTGTCTCAAAACTCTTAACTAGTATTATACCTTTTTATCTTCAGAGTGCTTTTTTTTAATAATACAATTTATAATTTTCATTAACTGTAACCTTCTATTAATCTAACTGCAATGAACTTTGAGCAACAAAATTTGCCCTTCATTCAGATTCTAAAAATACGGGAATAGCTATTTGTTCTGAAGTTGACTATAATTAAATATATTACAATGAAATTAAATTTTGTGAGGGTGATCATGAGTCTTTTTGTGAAATATTTTATATTTCACAAAATGCAATTTTTATATGATAAATGACATAGACAATTAACAGCCACAGTTCTAAGCACTACCCTTGGTTGCAAAGATCAAAAAGTTTTTCATTTGTGTTTTATTATAACAAAAATAAGTGTTTTAAATTGCAAAAATGTGACATTTACCTTTTCCAATTGAGCGTTTTTTTTGGATTTGTATAAAAACTCTCCCACTGCCACAAAAACTGAGAGCACCAAGCCGGCTGCCAGAACAATGAAGATGCCACCAATATTTTGAACCCCTAGGGCACTGGCCTCTTTGCTTTCTTCCTCTGGGCAACCATTGCCCCTCCACCACTTCTCCTTCATCATATGCAGCTTGCCTTCTTCTTGCAGCTGAAGAATTGCTATGGTGATTTTATCTCTGTATGGAGAACCTAAGAAAGGAGAGGACATGTTAACCATTCAAGGAACACAGAATTCCATAACTAAAGGTTAGCAAGATGAGAGGAAAGCAGACATTTTTCCAAATGCTTGAGTGTGCATATATTCATTTTCAGTAGAGAAAATCAACGGGAAAAGACAATAGAAGTTTAATAAGATAAATAAAACAGAAAGCCTTTCTAGATTTTGCAGGATACATGAATTTTGCTAAGAAATTTCTCCACTTTATAAGCTGACAGCACATAGCATTGGAAAATAAATCAAACAGTAAGAAAGAATTCACAAAAGGAAAAGGTAGAGTACAAAGAGTTTAGTTCACATCTAAGAATGGTTCTACAGTGAAGTCAGAGCACTGTTAAGTAATAATTTTATTTTTAGTAAGGTAGGGAAATTATTTTTCTCAATATGAAATTAAATAGTTAAAGGTAGTAGTGATGAACAAACCGTATTCAATCATTCAATATTTTGCAGATAATGGGCATACAGTTTTATTTGCTACTTGATGTGAATTTAAAAAGTCACAGGTTATATAGAATTGGATTATTTGTAATTCATTATGGAAATGTAATTCATAATTCATAGACTCTCTGACTTGATATTGTAAAGTATTTTTGATTGTTTGTCATTTTGTGCTTTGGAGAAAAATGTTCTTTTCAGTGGAGGCAAGGTGGCGCACGTCTGTAATCCCAGTGACTCCAGAAGCAGAGGCTGAGGCTGAAGTACGAGGTCTCCCTCAGCAAGTGAGACTCTTAGCAATTTAGTGAGATTCTGTCTCAAAATAAAAAATTTAAAAGGACTGGGGATGCAGCTCAGTGGTAAGCATATCTGGATTCAATTCTGAGTGTAAAAATTTTTTTTCATTTAGAATTCTGCTTTTAAAGGTATATGTTAATCTGCATTAGCAATTACTTGGTAAATATTATTTGACTAATTGAATGCTTAGAAGCAGAAAAAAAAAAAAAAAAAACATTGAACTGCATGCATCTTTCAAAATCTGACCCAAGAAATTGGACTTATTGCATGCATTCTCCCATCCAGAAATAGCCTGCTTCTAAAGTGTAATTTTCTTTGCTAGAACACTATACTTCACATTCCACTTTTTTTAGCACAAATTCACCCATCATGTTTTTCTGCTTATAGAAAAATACTAAACATTTCAGCTTTTATTCAATGCTGCCTGTGATTATATGTGTAAATATATCTACATTCATAGATCTTTCTTTGCAAGATGAGGTAAAGTAAAAGCAAAGAAGAATTGTAACATGTATGTGTGTTGAAAATGTTGAGGTAGTGAAGATCTTTCAAACACAACTGGTGAGCTATTTCTTTAACACAATACTTTACTCAAAAGAGTAGAAAAGCCTATGGTTTCTATAAAACTTTTTTCATGGTTTTTCTTTAAAAAGGCTATTATTCATCTTTGTAATTGGAACTGTCTCTGAAATTTTTATTATGGAATAAATTCCAAGTATAATAAAGGAATTCCTGTTCCCAGTTTCCTTCCTATGCTCTTTTTCAAATACTACTCAAATTCCAATGCTCAGTGGGAATTCTGCCTACCGCCCCCATACACTCTTCAAATTTTAGTGTATTACTCCATTCTACTTTCTACTTGGAACAGTTAGGTACTGGACAATTAATTTAAGTAATCTATTGTTATTATTAATTACCTGTCTAAATGGAACCTGTTTTTCTATATTACATGCTCTTTGGAGAAGATATTGATTGGTTTATACAACCACCTATCCATTCATCCATCTCTCTGAATTCTCATAGACTTTAGACAAATGTTTGCATCTTCTGCAGAGCATAAAATTTGATTAAGGACATTGTAAAGAATGTGGCACATGCCTATAATCCCAGCGGCTCTGGAGGCTAAAGCAGGAGGATTGTGAGTTCAAAGCCAGCCTCAGCAATGGAGAGGCACTAAGCAATGAGACCCTATCTCTAAGTAAAATACAAAATAGGGCTGGGGATGTGGCTCAATTGTTGAGTGCTCCTGAGTTCAATCCCTGGTACCAAAAATAAAAGAAAGAATGAAAGAGTAACAATCTATGATTTGGGTCTGTTTGAAATGTAATAAAACACCATGGAACTCATCTTTTTTTTTTTTTAACCTTTATTTTGCTCATTTATTTATTTATTTTTTTTATGTGGTGCTGAGGATCGAACCCAGTGCCTCACATGTGCTAGGGAAGTGCTCTACCACTGAGCCACAACCCCAGCCCCTAGAACCCATCTTTTTTTGACTATCCATTTTCATTAATCCACCATATCTAGCTTAGCACTAGCTCAAAGGTCACTCTTACTCTGAATAACCATTCTTATTAATGTTTTTTCCCTATAAAATAAATATTAATTGAAAGGCGAGGAAATTTCCCTTTTAAGCACAATGGTAGTTTATCAATTGTGATTTTCATTTAAAGCATAGCATCTAAAACAAACATTTTTCTGACAGTATTTCTGAAAATGGCCATACCTGGCTAACACAAGATGTAGTTTCTCTTCTGGAAATATAATCATAAGTAAGATTTAAGGGGATTGTTACTTGAAAAGGGACTTTCAAATACAGAACACTCTTAATCCAGCTAAATACTTTGGGCCAGCTTATTTCTCATCCTGAGTAGTTTTGACAGAATATTAGTTTTTTTGTTTTGTTTTGTTTTGTTTTTCCAATTCACCATACCCACAGAACTGTACTGGAATGTTTGTTCTGATATAGTCAAACACAACATTCTCCACTGTAATTTCAAGAACAAAACTAGACACAGATTTACAAAAACAAACTACTTCTTAGCAAATGATGGGCCTTTCTTGTTTCCTTGTCAGCTGAGCTTCCTATTTCCAATTTCCAATTCAATAGTGAAAGGTAGTGGTGACGAACAAACTGTATCCAATCATTCAATATTTTGCAGATAATGGGCATACAGTTTTATTTGCTACTTGATGTGAATTTAAAAAGGCACAGGTTGTATAGAATTGGATTACTTGAATTGGGTTACTTGCGAATACAAAAAATTCCCATTGGTAGAAAATCTTAATACACTCCTTCTCCTGAGCACAGTAATGTTTAATTGATATTTTGTTTTAATCAAACTTATAAAGTTACTACAATTTATTTTGAGGTTTTAATAGGATGAAATAATATATGGATATAATCAGTAACTGCAAATCACTGATGTTTTACATATTATTATTTCATTAATTTAGTTTAAGTTTTTTTTTTAATGGAACAGTATTTCAACAAAGAATTGCTACTGCTTTGATATAGAATTTGAAGCTCATTGGGAAGTATTTCTACACAGACAAATGTGGACTGAAATTTCATCCAGTTGTGAAATATCAAGGACATATTGAGATCAAAGAATAAAGAGTATCTTTCATTCTCCTGTGACATGAACAGCCATGTGCTTAGTTCTAATGAAGTGAAGAGTCATTAGTTAGCTAGATAGTCCCAATTCCAGCCTCAATTCATATACTGACCAGCAAGGAACTGATGGAATTGGGTTAAACAGAGAATCTGAAGATTTATATTTTCAGGTCACCTGCAAGGAAGAGATGCATTTTTTTCAAGAGGTCTCTGTTTCATTTGGGAAAAAAAAATACCTGAGGAAATTATAAAGTTGTCTATTATAACTCACAAATATGCTTACAAACTTACAACTAAAAATAATTAGTCAAATGCTTAAGAAGTAGACAACCATAAATTAAGGAAATCAGTAAATGAATGAAGCAACATAGACAAAACTATTGAAAAATCTGCAACATCTGCAGTAGACAGACAACCTTCATTTCCAGTTTTATTGAAACTCTGTGGAATTTCCACAGTGACCATTCACTTTCAGTTTTTATAAAGTCATATAAAATATTTTGTGTAAAACTATCTACACTTAAGTAGATATTCAAAATAAGTCAAACACTTCCTAAAGCTGAATTTAGCCTTTGCATCTTTATTATGTAACATTGGTTCTTTGGTTCTTTTTATATTTTTTCCCCTCATTTGACTTTCTTTGGTTATTTCATCATATTCTCCATATTTACAGTAAGGGAACATTGGTTTTAAAATTATCTTTTTAGAAGTTACCAAAATACCATGTGATAAGGTAAAAAGAGTTCCAGTTTGCATAAGAAGAAAAAGAAAGAGAAAGAGAGACATATGTTTATTCCAAGGAAACCTTTTGATGTTATATGCATAAGACATGAAGCTCCAACTGAGCTATCCAAGGAGGTATAGAGGTTGTTTTGAGCGACCTACTGTGACAGTATGTGGATGGAGAAATAAAAATGACTGAATGTACTTATGCAGAATTTCCTCAATTATAAAATTTTTTACTCCAAAAGTCCCTAAATGTTGAATTTTGATCAAATAATTTCATGTAAAATTGTGATTTTATAAGAATTTCTTCCAAGATATTTATTAAAATTTCCTAGAATAAACTGTGATTATTATAAATAATAGAAACAAATCTCAGCAAAGATTTCAGAGGTAAATTTAGATGATTCATCTCTCCCTGCCTCCCTCCCTCTTTCCCTTCCTTCCTCTTTTTGCCCCTCCCTAATGGTTTCTATTCTCCTGCCCTTCCTTGTCTTAGTCTTTTCACTCCTCCCATCCTTTCTTTTCCTTTTATTTCCTTCCCCCAATGTCTTCTTTTCCCTTCCTACCCCTGCTCTCCTCTCCTCCTATCTTTCTTCCCCTTCTTTCCACCCTCTATCCTTTCCTTTCTACCATTCTAAGTGCCTCACTTGTAGAATGCAGCACACATGTAAGTCATAGTTAATTTTAAAGTCTAAGTCTGACATACACAATTTATTGATTTGCTCAAGTATGCTGCCGTTTTAATTCTCTGTGTTAATGTACAGTTATATACAAATATCTCCCTTATTTCAGTATATCCAGATATCATAAAAAATATGGTAAATGCAATCCATATTAATCTTAATTCTGGCAAAGACTTATTCATCGGTAAACAGTTTTTATTTCTGGATGCACAGT